AGATTTTATCAAATTTTTTAGAAACATAGATCTTGGAAAAGCGAATCCTTTCGAGCTTGAGGGCGGCAACCATCTCCGCCAACCATTGATGAAAACTGGGCGGTAAAGAGGACTTCCATCAAAATCACCCTTTTAGCTACCACCATACCAAACATAAGAGACAATTGCTGAGAATGTGTTAATGCTAATGTAGGGTCAGAACATTCAAGCAAAGCTAATTCAAGATCTGGACTGATATCTTCTCCAAAAACATTTGAATAGCACCGAAAAATATTCTTCCAAAACTCAGAAATCTCAGGACAAAACCAAAAAGAATGACCATGCGTGCCATCTGAGCTCTTACATCTATCACATAATGGGGAAATTGAAGAGTAAATTTTATTGAGTTTAGTTTTGGTATCGTATAACCTATGCAATACTTTAAACCGTATAAGTTGTAATCTAGCATTAATAGAGCAGGTATGAATTCATTTCAGTCCCTCTTCCCAAATCTCTTTTGAGACATTAATTCAATTCCATTAGAATTTTAAAACAATTGAAGACCGCGTTGAATATTACGTGTCCTTCTGTGCACCTGCCCATTTTAAATAATCAAAATGTTTTGCCCGGCCAATCGGATAAGGTATTTTCACTGTGGAGAGGCAAAGGACTAACCACGGTCAAGGACTTTTATATAGATGGAAAATGTGCTACTTTTGAACACTTGTATAAACCTTTGATCTTCCCCAATCACATTTTTTCCAGTATAATTTCCCATGCTACTTTGAGGTGATCTGAAGAAACTGCAAAATGAGAAACAAACAAAGAAACAAACAGTGTCACCAAATGTTTATCCATAGGAGGTTGACCCAAAAGATCATACATATGATCCTGAGGCAAATCCTGAAACACTCCAGCATCACTATTATTTGTAGTAATAGGGCCAGTCATACAACATCTTCAAAAACATAGCAAACAAAAAATCAGTAGCAACCGCAGCAAGAATAAACATTATCTGGTGCAACAAAAAACATAAAGAAGAACTCACAAACTCCCCACAGCTGCCCTATGAACTGAAGCAGCATGTATTCCCCATCGTCTCGGAGACAACAAGAGTGCAAGACTAACTTAGCTTACCTTAGCCAAAAAGAAGAGCAGAAATAATGAAAAACACACAAGGAGTAGAAAAAAACAACAACTTCTGTTCTCCACCGCACAAATAGTCAGTAATCTGAATCACGTACCACAGTGAGAATTAACAGAATGTTCCAAAAATAGTCCACTTCTATTAGTCAAGGTCCATACTCGGACCAAGCTGAGTACGTAGAGGCTACGCTGAGTCATTCAACAAGTTATCCAGAAACTTCTTGGCCTCTACCAGAGATTCGAAAGAAAGCTCACAACCGTTGTAATGCACAATCGATTTTGCTGGAAAAAGCAGGGACCATTTCAACCCAACCTCCCGCAGAGCTTTCGTGATCGAACTAAACGCATGTCGCCGCGCTGTCACCTCTGGTGCATAATCAGGGAAGATATGAATTTCCTTTATATTCCAGAGGAAACTTATCCCGGCTCAGACGGAGGATTAAGTCTTTATCCAGATCATTGTGGATCCGTGCGATAATGGTGCGAGGTCTCTGGCCTTCAGACGGCTTGGGTAACAGCACCCGATGAGCTCGGTCAATCTTCAAAGGTTTGGGGATGTTGTCTTGGCCGAAAAGTTCGGTAATCAAGTCAGAAATGAACACCGAAGGGCGCCCCCGCTCCTCACCTTCGCTTATTCCCACAAATCTGAGATTCAGCCTTCGAGAGCGTCCTTCCAAGTCATTCAGTTTAGCCCAGAGAGATTTGTTTTCTGCACACAAGTCTTCACACACCTTTTCAACCTCTCCAAGGCGTAAATCAGTACCGTTCAGGGCACCTTCTATCTCCACCATTTTTTGTTTAACGCCGGCCTGTTCTGACTGCAGGTTAACCAGCGTAGCATCCAATGTATCCAAGCGAGCACTTCATGCTGTCGTCTTGTCCTCTGTGAGCTTTTTCAAATCATCCCCTTGGGCACCCATTGCGGCAAGTATCGCATTCACATTTCCCTGTGAGATAGAATCACCTGGACTGGCATCCTCCTTAGTTGCAACAGTTTTTGAAGATTTCTTAGACGCCATTTTTCTGACGGAACGAGTCAGTGAAATAACGAAAATCGCCCTCAGTGCACTTAAATCTCACTAAATACTCAAAACAACTGATTAAAGTTAATTCTCAATAAGTTATTATCGACTGTGAAGTGGATTGA